TCCGGGCCCGGGGTATCCCCAGCCTGCTTCCCCCCCACCCGACCCTGGCTGCAGGGACCGGGGTATCCCTAGCCTGCTTCCTCCTCACCCGGCCCTGGCTGCGGGCACCGGGGTATCCCCAGCCTTGCTCCCCCCACCCGACCCTGGCTGCAGGGACCGGGGTATCCCCAGCCTGCTTCCTCCCCACCCGACTCTGGGTGTAAGGACCCCAGGGCATCCACAGCTCATCCCCACTGCAGGGAGCCCAGGGCATCCCCAGCCCACCCAGCGTGGGGTGCACACAGCCCAGAGTACGCCAGCTGCTGCTGCTCCTGGCTGCAGGGACTTAGGGTATCCCATTCCCACCCCCGCCCCCCCATTCCCACCAGGGCTGCTTGCACCCCCCTGGCCAGCCCTGGATGCAGGGAGCCCAGGGTATCCCCAACCCCCGCCTGGGGTGGCTGATGCTGCTGCTCCCCACAGCCCCTGCCCAGCTGTGGGCCCCAGGCTGGGCAGGGAAGGAGAGGGCTGTGGGGGAGCCCTGGGGGCAAAGGGCAACCGGGATTAGGAAGAGGGGCATGGAGGGGCTTCCCTAGGAGGAGACACTGGGAGCCTCTACATGAGATGCTTAATGCGCAGTAGCCTAATAACACTGGGCAGTAGCTGCTGGGCAAAACCATGCTCGCAGGCTGCTGCACAAGTAGTATTAGGCACAGTAAGTGTCACTAAAACCCGTGCCCCAGCACTACTGCACAGTAAATGTAGTTAGTGTGCATTCAGTTAGTACTTCCCTAAGCACTAAACTAAACGCGCAGTAATTACTACAGGGGGTTGGTTGTAGCGGTGTTGGTCAAAGGACATACGTACACAAGGTTCTTGCAGTAAATGTGATTTCCCTTATTAGACCAACTAAATAGTTGGAAAAATTGTTCTTTGCAAGCTTTTGGGCGCAAACGCCCTTCGTCATGCACAGGGAGCCTGCTGAAGGGTGTTTGTGGCAGTAACTACTGCGCATTAATGAACGTGTAGACGTGCCCACTGAGACCGCCAGGCCTGGTCTGGCCAGGAAGGGGAGCAGGAGAAGGGTTTACAACACAGTGGCAGAGACAGGCAGCGGGGATGCGTTCTCCCCTGGCTCTGGCCAGATAAAAGGAGGGTCATCCCACGAAACCAGTGCACACAAGGCAGGTGTTTTGCACCGGGGGTGGAGCTCGTGGCCCCACGATGTGGTGGGAGCTGAAAGCGGAGCCGGGTTCGAGAAGGGGTTGGACACATTCGTGGAGGAAAGGGGTGTCCGTGGGTACGGAGCGAGGGGTAGGAACGTAAGAGCCACAGACTGGGTCAGAGCCTAGAGCCACGGGGCCCTGTCTCCTACGTCACACCGTGGTCCCTTAAGGGAGGCTTATAGTTTCCCTGCAATGGGCCCAGTCCCACGAGCTTTCCTCGCACGTCAAACAGCCCCGTGTCACATCGCAGCAGGGGGTGGAGGCTGAGCGGGAGAGAGATCTGGGTCCGACCAGGGCTTCCCCCTGTTCCTCTCCCATTTGCAACCTCCAGCATTTAAGGTCCAGACAGCCCTGGTTCACAAGCCGTATCCCTCACTCCCTTGCTCAACAGGGATTGAAGCCCCTTTCCTCCAAGGATGTCCCTCATCCCTTTCTGAGTCTGGCTTAGCAGTCAGCTTCCACCACATCCGGCGGCCACGAGCTCCACTTGCATGAAACGCTGCATCACAGCTGCCTCCACCTCCGTGGGGGACAGGTCTCCCAATGCCTGCATCTAGGCTGGTGCGGCCCCCATCTCTTTCCCATGTTCCCGTCTCCCAGGAGCCAGGCTGCCTTCAGACGACCAGGTCCCAGCTGCTGAAGCCCCAGGAGGTGGGAATGGCTCCTTCTCCAGCTGCTGCAGCCCCACATGCTTGTTCCCTGTCATGTCAGCCCAGCACCCAGCCCTTCTGCCTGCCCTGAGAGAGGCCCTCTTTGGGCCTGGGGACAAGGAGATGTTAAAGTGACCTCCGTGCCTGGGGAAAGCGGCCTTGTCGTCCTGCCGTGCAGGCATCCTGATTCAGTCTCAGGGCGCTGAAGGAGGGAAACTTCCAGTAACCAGAGACGCCACTCGCCTGCTGCCGCCTTTTCCCCTAGAAATATCATCTCCGCCCCCTGCCATGGAAACGCCCAGAGGCGCCGACTCATGATTTTTATCACGAGCCGCCTGATATTGTGCATCTCGCTCAAGCGGATCCCCCCACACCTGGTGTAATTACCGTGATTCAAAATGCAGCCGTCTCCTGTAGCTTCCAGCCCTCTCTTCCCCCCGATAGACATTGCAAAGATAGGCACAACCTTCCTTCGGTTTGCAAAAGCCTTGAAGCCACGTGTGGCTCTGGATGTGTTTCTGGGAAATGAGACAGGGAATTAGGGGGGGTGCAAAAAAAGAGAGGCCAAAGAGCATTGTGGGAAATGTGAACTTGGATGAGTCCTTAAAATGATGCAGGTGCAATTGCTCATCCTGCTTCAGCCCATGCTTCATAGCAGGCAGGGCTATTGCAGAGGCAGAAACGCTGCTGGGCCTCGGGGGCTTTGCTGCTGAGAAACTGTGCCAGTCTAACCCTCAACCTTTCTTCTTCCCCCAAAAACATGGGAATCAAAGCGCATTGCCGGATCAAAGCGGGGTGCATCTTCTCCAAGGACCTGCTTGAGGTTGATCGGGACTAGGTGCTTCAGTCCAGGTGACTGCACCCTGGGCAGCAGAGAAAACTCTTCTTACCCTTGCCATGGCGAGGTGATCTATGCCCTGAGTCGCCAGAGCTATATCACATCTCAGTTTTATTGGGTCCGGGGTAACATAACCATGGGCCGCCTTATGGTGCATCCAAAAAGCCAGGGCCCGATTCTTAGCCAACAGAGGTTATCAGAGGCCCATCTGCTTCAACAGAGCTATAACTTATCCATGCTGAGCATCCAATTCCTACCATCTTATTCTTGGCCTCCATGGTACATCAAGGTAATGAGATCCAGAGGGTAATTAAGTGTGGTGCTTCAACGTGTCTCAGGAAATAACACGTCCCTTTGTTCTTGTAGTACCAGAAGTGATAAGAGATGCTCTGGAGACTCCTTCTCTCTGTCGTCCGCTGTTTTGTACAGCCCTGTCATATCCCTTCTTCCCTCACCTGACTAGCCTGAGTAGTTGGCATCTTTATATATCCCTCATCCTTTCCAGCATCCCTCTCTATATTGTCTTCTGGTGAGAGGGCGACCAAAACCAAACCTTCTCTTCCAG